TACACATATTCCATATAGTCTGCAAGCCACTATTCCTAATTCCTTTGTTGAAGGCGCAACAAACTCCCAATATTTCCAAATATCATTAAAATGGTTATATGTCTTATCATCGAATAGATAAATTTTCATTGAAAAATCATTAAATTCACGCAGAATACAAGTAGGTTCTTTTCCAGACCAGGCTTTATAATAATAAATTAAATATTTGCCTAGTCGTGCATAATTTATTCTTGATTTATTCTTAAAATAGATGATTTGATACTTTGGATGCAACATGCATGATAAAATTAAAAGCGGTTGTTCCCAGCTTTTCTACCTTTTACTTAATTGTGTTAAAATTTTTTCAGCAAGTTGTTGATTTTCATAAATATTCTAAAATTGAACCAAATATGCAAAACCATGCATTATATGAATTAATCTTGCATTATCATGCTGTAAAATATTTAATATTTTACAATATGGGTACAAAATATCTGCAATTGTCATCAAGTTTGTCCAAAAAGAACTAGTTTCAATAATTTCAAAAATATCTTAACTTATAGTTAGATTTTCTCTTATTCGCTGCTGAGTTTGAACCAGCAGTAGTTAGTGGTTTATTGCAAGAATCTAAAAATGTATAAGAGAAATTTAACTTTAATAATATTTAAAAAAAAAACTTTAAATACTAAAAATAATTTTTTTTTAAAGAAAAAAATTTTAAAATTATTATAAAGGCTAAGTAATATATTTTGATACCTTCAACACCTGTTGACTTCGTAAAAGACTGATTGCTACTAAATAGTAACTATTCCATCGAGTTTTCTCTGGCACTGCTATCTTATAATATATATTGTAAGTTAATTTTTGTTGATCTCGCAGCTTTGCAATAAAATATTTGTTGTTTGTACTATTAAAATATGCAGCTAATCAAATTGCTCGGTTTATTGTTGTTTTTAATTCAGTAGATTCTTTAAAAACTTCACTAATGCATAAATTTATCTGATGAGCAAAGCAAGGTAAAAATACCATACTTCTTTCAGAAAGCCTTAATCTCTATCTAATATTAAATCCAAAATAAAAAAATTAGTTTTTGCTTGGCAGCATTCATATCTCGAATAATATACAAAATAGCAGATTAAATAATTCTAGTATAGTTAATAACAATTGAGATAACATCAAGCATTAGCAGAATATGGATTAATAAAATGATAAGTGTCTTTATACAATTTGTATAACTCAATAAAAACTCAAAAAAATTAATTCATATCTATATTTATCACAAACCCACTCAATTAAATTATTATTTATTTTTAACTTGAAATATAATATAAAAATAATATTTAATAATCAAATTCATTTAAAAATAATAACTATTACTTGCATTAACTTGATCATTTAATCAATTTATTCTCTGATTTGCTGAGCTTGAGAACGTCTATTATAAAATCATACCTTGCTGCTGCATACGGTGCAGCACTATCTGTGACAACTGCTGAGACCTTTACTTCCATATTTTTTAACTCATCTATCATTGCTTTGGTTTTTTCAATTACTTCAACGTATGATTCTCTTTCCAAGCTAATATTGATTGCTTTCCATATGTGTGATTTGCCTCCTGAAGTAGTAACTATTATATCTAATAAATGCTCATTTTTCACATTTGTCTACCCATTAAATAACAATGTAATGCCAATTTTATCTTGACTAAGTTCATTAAGCATTGTTTCATTTTGTTTAGAAACAGCTGCATTTAAAATTCATTTACCAAGAATTCTACAGTCTGGAAGCTTGATTTAGGGATTTAAAAATTGAAACAATTCTTTTACTTCAGGGTCGTTAACCCAGCTAAGAGCTCACCTACAAGATACTGTTAATCTCAGCAAAAGAATCTTGAATATTTCTCTATCCTGTTTTGACAATAGTCAAACTGCATAATCATTAAGAAGTCCATAAGAAGAAGATCGTACAATTTTATGTGAAGGTTTTGAAGAATTGGATGCTGTGTCATATGACAAATTAGGTGAAGCTATGAAAAATTTTTACATATTACTTTTATACTGTAGCGTAAAGTGAATAAAAAATAATATAAAATTTCATTTACCAGGCCGTTTTTGTTTTGAAACCTCTTCGTTATTAGAAAGTGCAAAAATTTCTGCTCATTCTTCTGCTGTTGTTTTTCTCACAAAATGTACACAATTTTTTAGATGATGAACTATTCTATCTGTCTTGTTAGGAAAACTTCCTTTTTTACCATCTTTCTTACCCAATGCCTCAACACATGCTTTGCAATATATCTTAACATTACTTTTACCAGATTTCTCATTAGTTTTAATAATGTGTTGGATTAACAATATTGATAATGGCATAGTTGAAATTTGACGTGTTGGCTCTTAAGGTAGGAATGATGAGACTTTGTGTTATATAAAATATGAGAAGAAAAGTCGATATTTCTCTTCGAACTTTAAACGTTTTTTATAAATTCTGGTATCCTAACAACTAATTTGATACATTCTGTTAAAGTTATTTATATCTTTTACAATGAATAATACCTTATTCTTTTTCTATATTCGTAACAATGGCCAAGCCAAAATATTCTATTTAGATCATTCATTTTTAACTCTTAGTATGCATATTTCTCTTCGAGCTTTAAATATCTTCTAAATTCAAGTATCCTAACAATAACAAACTTGATACATTTCATTAAAGTCATTTATGTCTACAGTTTTTTTATATTGAATGAATGCCTTATTCACATTCTTTTCAATACCAATCCTATATTCATAACAATAACTATGCCAGAACATTCCATCTGAATTATTCATGTCTAGCTTCTTTAATATTACATATTCCTCTTAAAACTTGATAAGTCTGGGTATCCTAACAATAACCATCTTGATATATTCCATTAAAGTTATATGTCTATAATGAATGAATACCTTGTACTCATGCTTTTCATCACTAATCCTATATTCGTAACAAAAACTAAGCCAAAATATTTCATCTGAGCTATTCATGTCTAATTCGTATACATAATAACTGCATGTATTTATTTTATCACTTCTCAAAGTCTCATACTAATCTGACATTATGTAGAGTCATCCACCTAACACATGACCACAGGCAACTTCAAGTCGCATAGCTACAGAATTCATAGCAACATATGAATATAGCGTATTAAGAAGTATTCTCATTTATATATGTACATATAAAAGTATTAATTATTATCTCATAGATAAGTGGACTTGCATAGTATTGTTTATTTATTGTGTATAGAAATAAATTAGGTAATTGGCTAAAGTTTAGCATTGATAGAGTAATTAATCATGCGTGTTCTCTCATTTATTGTTTTTTTTTTTATAATTTGGGTAATTTGGTCACTGCCAAAAAAATTATGCTGCTTTTCGCATTACGTAGAAACTTTTTACAGCAAATAGAATTAAAATTAATGTGAACATTTTCTACGTATCTTCTAATTGCTTAAATTATTGTTTTTTTTATATGTCATATATCTATTTTATTATTAAGAATTTGGTGTTGTCGAATATAGCTATTATTGTAACCAAAATATATTGTTGCATTACAGCTATTCTCATAAATTTTGGATATTTAGTAAAAAATTGACCGAATAATTGTTTGGCCGATTTGATAAATTTTTGATATCAATGAGTGATTACAGCTATTCTCATAAATTTTGGGATATCTGGTAAAAAAATTAACCGAATGATTATTTGGCAGTTCGATAAGTTTTTAATTCAGCAGTGATAAACTTTTGATTTGAGCGTGATTAGTAATATAGCAATAATATATATTTTTTGTGAATGTATTCTAAATGGTACTAAAATGTCAACACATCCAAAATTAAGATTTCGTTATTCGTTCTTGCCAACCAACAGATCTTAACAAAAAAATATAAAAAGGGTTCTGAATATAAGATAAGCTTCTATAATGAATATATGTATCAGAGTGATTCATAATTAATTTATTTCGAAAATAAGTAGGGTGCTAAATGTTTTATTTTGTTTTTCTAGTTTGAAAATTTGAAATCAGAAAATGGAATAGGAGTTATCCAGAGATATAATGTTTAATGATGTATTGTTATTATCAATTGAATTTTTTTTAAAATTTATAAGTAATATTACATATTTATTTTCGAATTATTAATATTTAATTAAATAATATGCCTCCAAAAAGAAACTTTTAAACAAACCACTAAAGAAAAGAACTTGAGAAAAAATCATAAGACTTGATGATTTTTTTACGAATAATAAGATATCGATCTAATTCAATTATTTCCAATAATTCCAACAGTTCATCGATTTCTTTTTTGAGAATATTAGTTGTATTTTTATGAGTACTATCATAATATTCTTCTATGTATTATTATATAAATAATCTTACAAATCAAAAATAATTATGAATCATTGATTTCGAAATAATTACATCACTAATTAATTCAAAATCAGAAACCTTAATTCTGAATCACCCCATTATATAAAGAGATGCTAATAGAAAAAAGTTCAATATGAACAAGAATTTATTGAAAATATAACTCAAATTATAATTCCAAATAACCAAGTTTTTAATATTTGTTGAAACTGCTTTAAAATTATAAACAACAAAATCATAGTGTTTGAAAATTCATAATGCAAAACTTGGACATTGGACAATGTTCGAGTCTGAGTATGTCTGAGTTCAAAATATTTTACTCAGACATTGTCCAAGTGACAATCCAGTTATTCGAACATAACTTGAACTTGGATATCAGATAATGTCCGAAAATGTCTGAGTCTGAAATATATAGCTCGGACATCTAAAATGTACAACACTGCTGTATACTATATCAAACATGAAAGAGTAAAGCATAGTTAGGTTTAAGACCAGTTTGCTTTAGTTATCATAATTTTTAGCTATTTGTTAACAAAAAATTTTTTATCAATGAAATTTTATATTATTTTTTATTCACTTTACGCTACAGTATAAAAGTAATATGTAAAAATTTTTTATCTATGAAATTACTGTATTGTTTAGATTTTTACTGCTTAAATCCTCAAAATAAAATACTTGAAATTTGGGTTTTGTATAGTATATTATATTAATCATAGAGTTTACAATTTATTGATAATATAAAGATATAATATTGATATTTAATTATCTTAAAGATGAATTTAATAAAAAAAAAGAGTTAAACTCCTTATTCTTATCTTTAAAGTATCAGCTTAAACAAATCTGTTTTTCTAACTCATTACAGCTATACTGTATATATGTAATATATATATGCAGTATTTATATATTCATACTAGAGATATAGAAATTGTGTAATTTAGTATGATTAAACCAAATTGTACTAAATCGTATAATTTTTATTATTTACTATAAAATAGTTGAGCATAGTATTTTAAAATTGCAGATCAGTTTTTGTTAGTTAAATACAGTATTTGAAAAATAAAAGTTTTTATTTTACGAGATAAAATTGTATTTTTTTTTGCTTAAGCAAAAAATATTATAAATTGTATTTTTTATTTTTAATCATTAGCAAATCACATAATTTACAAATTTTTATCATATAAATTTTGTATTTCTAGTTCATGTATATTAATTTTCAAAAAAGAATCTTTATATAGACAATGGTAATGTTGTAAAAAAAAAAAGGAAGATATTAAAAATGATTATTTCTATAAATTACTATTTTTTGTTTTTTCTTGGCATCATTCTTTATTAGCTATGTAATACTAAAGATGTCTGTAAACTAAGTAAATCAAAACTATATATAGTTATTTATAATTTAAGCTTATTGAATTTTTTTGATCAAATTTATTAATCAGTAATATATTATATATATAAATATATAAAATTAGCACATCTTTTTTTAGATATGCAAGTTGTAATTTTCTATTTTAGCCGAAAGTTTCACTACCAAATGATACTTTCTCATTTCATTAACAAAGTTATAGAATCATTTTCATATTATATATGGAAAACAATTTTTTTTAAATTTACTTTATTTGTATTTGTTATTTGAATAATTTGAATGAAACATAATTTGCTAGTAAATTTTTTTTTTAAATAAATATAAAATTTAGCTCAATAACTCATATTAAAAGTTCTAATTTTTAGTTGTAAAGGCCTTGCATCTAAATAATTTTTTAAAAAATTTTATACTAAATTTTTATATGATATTATATATAGTTTTGATTTACTTAGTTAACAGACATCTCCAATGTAACTAACCTTATTGGTTTGCTTTTATAAATATCTCTAATACTAAGAGTTATTTCTTTAATATTTATAGTTTTATATACATAGAACTATTTTCTATAATAATTTTCTTTATTACCATCTTTATGAATACATTAATTATATTGTTAATAATATATTAATATTAAAAAAAGTAGAAAAATTTAGCTAATTATAAGCAGATATAAAGAATTATTTGCAGACTTAAATAAGTTATTAAAATTAAACTTAATAATGCATTTCTTTAAAAACTTCAGAGATTTTTTTTTGTACTACAAAATATTTACAATATAAAATATGATCGTAATATTTTTTTTATTTTATATACAATACAAGTTTACTCTATATATGAGTATAACAAAGTGAAGTTATACTATTACATTCAAACTCGAAGTAATTAAATAGCAGAAAATACCTCTAATCATCGTACTTCTTTATATTTTAAAGTCGACTGAAGATGTTTTCAAGAGTAGCAGAAGCAAAAAAAAAAATTTGAAGCTGTTAGAGACAATAAAGATCTAAATGCAAACCAGAAGCATACTTTTGAAGGTTATAATCGAAAAGTGGTCTACTCTATATTAGAAAAGAAAGTATTTGAGTTCATTAAAAAAAGAAAAGAGAAAAAAGATACTGTAACAATATCTATAATTGTAAAAAAAGCAAAAGAGCTAGGTGAAGTCTTAGGTATTAAAGATTTAAAGTTCTTGTATAGTTGGGTTGATCACTTCAAGTAATAGCATAAGTTAGTAAAATGTGCTCACACACAAGTAGCACAAAAAACTTTTGAAGATATATCTATAGTTATTAGAAATTTTCTTCAAAGTTTGTGTGAAAAAACTTATAATATCAACAAAAAATTTGTTTTATTTTTTGATATAACTCTCATATACTTTGATATACCATAGGATTCAATAATAGATTTCAAAGGTGTTTGTGAAGTACCAGTTAAAATTACAGAAAGTGAAAAGGTATAGTTTACTGTAGTCTTAGATTATACTGCTACTAGAGAAAAACTTCTCCTGATAGTAATCTTTAAGTTAAAAAAAAAGCCAAAAAGCAGATTTCTATGAGATGTTATGATAGCAACCGTGCTTTTTGTATGTATAATAGCAGATTTAATGATTTTTACTTA